GGTCGGGAGAGCAAACGCAGCTAAGTAATACGCCAAATGAGGAGCCTAAAAGCAAATGGTCCAATTGGACAGGACGAAACGCATGGAAATCTGGTCTAATGGGACTCACCGGCTTTGGTGCTCTTTTCCTGGGAAGCGTCGTCTTTAGATATGGTAATTCTGCTTTAGCTTTCAATTTTTATATCATCAAGGCCCTCCTGAACGCAACGAAGAAGGAAATGAGGTTCATCTATTTTTCATTATTTATTTATATTGCAGATAGTTGACAAATACACAGACCGTTAGTTTGTACTTATTTATTGTATGCTTCAGTACCTACGTTTCAGGCGTACGTTTACCGAAGTTTCAGACATCTTCTTGATTTCAACCAGGTAATGTATGCCCATAGTTTCATTGAGCCTGTAGTCTATAAGAGATCCTGTTAGCGATAAACTTCTGCCTGATCCAGTCAAGCCCCCATATTATCAACCCCCTTACACATTGGTTTTGGAAGTTACTGATTTGCTAGTTCATCCAGACTGGAAGGTAATGAGCATTTTTTTAAATCCAAGCCTAGTTTCGCACCGGATGGAGATTCAAAAAGCGTCCAGCTCTTGAAGCTTTTCTCAAGCAACTTCATCCATACTATGAAGTTATTGCATTCTCGTCCGAATCAATTATGGTTAGTCATTGTGCACTATAGTGGTCGTCTGATACTTTCATTTGCTCCCCACATCTGGTGATCTTTCTGGCTTATATTTAGATTTTTTCCTTCATTATGCACGCTGAAAAATTCATTCATAATACTACGAGATATCGTAATCTGGCTATTGTCTCTTCAATTTCTCTTTTTCTGTTGTTTGGGGAGGTGTATATTTGAGATGCCCAAAATCCATGTACTTGCAATAACCTACCCATTTGGACCCTATCTCGACTTAAATATACATAAGACAATGGTGAGGCTTATGAGTCTGCAATTCTGGCTTTTCAGTCTTGCTCGCTTTCAAGAAATCCTGATACGAATCCCCCGTCCTTGATCTGTTCTTTTCAATCTTGTGCCGGATTTAATACATACATTTAGTAAGTAATTCATCGTCACAACGTTTTAGGGTCATAGTTCTAAATCTTTTGCATGAGGTTGTCTTAATGCGATTGGACCGCATATTTTCATATTCCTCCCTTAATATTAGCCGACAGAAAATAAGTATTCTGAGTAATCTCCAAAATATCCCATTTTTATAGGGCCTGTGTCTCCTTCATGAGTTAGATATTTTGTACCTAAACTTTCCTTCATTCTTCCTGGTTATTTCCCAAGACTGCTGGCCCAGTGCTTGCTCAGCTCGATTCCCAAGGCCAATATTTCTCGCATCGTCTATTCCGTGAAGCAACACGCTATCGAAATGGGAGGCATATTAAAGATTTATCTTGTCTCAATCGGGACCTCAGTCGCGTTGTGCTTATCGATTGGAACCCCGAGGCTGCTTCTATGCAACCAGAAAATGCCTTTATTATTCGTCGATGGCGTGGTGAAGATACTGACACTGACCTCTTGGATCTGGCTGCTTTCCTCAGAAGTGAAGTTTATTGTCTTCTACATTCATATATTTATGATTCAAAATTATCCGTTGATTTTTTTAAATATTTTTTTAATATTTGTCAAATAGTATATCAAATGAACCAAAATCATTCCTGGCGCTGATCTAGTTACCGCTATCGTGAACCCAATTTATTGACAGTGTAAACCTCTTGCACCATTGAAAGACTTCTAGATACGAAGAGTAACTGGATATCGATGAATCTCTTGAGATCTCCTGGGGAGACCTTCATTTAGTATGAAAATGCGTGAACAGATTCTTAGGTTGAGCTCAACAAAAGCGAGCGGCTTAATCCCGTTGTACTGCAGCCATTTGGCTTTAATACGACGTTCAGGTTGGCGCAATCCACGAGGCATCCTCCCTCGCTTCAGGTTAAAACAGGCTGAGCTTTCGTCCATCATGTGATGGACATCATCAGAGCCGGAACTCATTCTGATAAGTGTCACGTTAATACTTGGTCATGAAGACTATCCGGCTCTATTTTTTCTTCGTATATATAATCATTACTAAAAACGAAAAGTGAATGGGTATGGATAGGATGATTTGGTTAATTGTCTTTCATACTGGTCTGACCACTTTTGTTCGGGTGTGTATTAACGTCTATATGCAATACCGTTCCCAAATAAGTGTTCAAAAAAGGTTAATGCTAGGCTCTGGTCATCAAGGTCTAATGACCCAAAAAAGCTCTGACCGAGATTGCGTAAATCCGTAAGTGAGTATGGTTTAACTAATGAGATTTAATCATGTTGAGTCAGGTTACGAGACCACCTGTCCTAACCTCTCAGTCTAGGGTGATTAAAGTTTAACTAACCAAGGAAAGGCATTATTGGTACTGCGTGCTAACCCTAAATAGGGTTTCTTGATACCTAAATCGCGATATGATTCTTATGAAAGCCGACAAAGGTTGTGCAGTGGTAGTCGTGGGTAGGTCAAGTTATGTAGAATAAATGCTAGTTCATTTAAATGACGCTGGCATGTATAGGCCTTAACTGAGATATCCAACAGAAAGATTTAAGACTAGGCTGAAGGATGCCCTTAAGATATGCGCTGGTAATGGTTGAATGGGGAGGTGAAAAGTGAATTAACTCTAGAGAGGTGCAAGAGCCGCAACGGATTACTGTCTCCCTAAGGCTCACAAAGACTGTTATAGTACTTGTAAATAACAAAGGGAACATGATGCATAAATCTCACGTTTTTTATGCATGCACCTAAGAAAGGCTGCTGATTTTTGGCTATATTTAGTTAAAATTTTC